TTTCTTTTTTATGACTTTTCAGTCCTCCCTTGCAAGGGATACTTAATCCTAGTAAAATCCAGGAAAAATCTATATTTTTAGGTGAAAATATAGCTTCAGTTGCTGCTGGCAGGGTGTATAGAAGGCTAATATTTCATCCGAAGCAGAATCCAATTGTAAATCAGTAGTTACATCATGGCATGATGAGTATGTTAGCAACTAGTCTATCTCCATGGTGAAGAGCAAAATCACATTTTACAATTGGATTAGATTCTGCGGTGCTCCAGCTGAGAATAACATGAAAAGTTTGCACCTACAATGCTACAAATTTTTTTCTTGCTTTTTTTTTTACAAAACAAACGTTTTTGTATATCTTTGGATTTTAAAGTTAGCCAAGACCGCCAGATAAAAGTGCTCAGACCTCAGATAATGACGACATGAAGAGATATGAAAATTGCGCCGTGCACTGCAGAGAACGTCCAGGACAACAAATAGAAAAGCATTCGGAAAGACTGAAGAGTCTGGAGAGAATGTAAAAATGTTGACGATGATGAAAGCGATGTTTCGCATTTGGACTGCAGAGGCAAAGCATGCTTGTCAAATGGAAAAGAAAGAAAAGAACAGATGACAAAACCAGAGATTGAGCAGCCTTCAGCAATCATTATGACGCCATTTTTTTACGGTTTAAAGACTAATACGTAACGCGGTCTCTATGGCTTCAACATTAGTCATCTACAGCAGATTCCCGAAGATAAGAAGATCAGAAAAATTTAATAGTCAGCTATAGATACAGTAGAACAAAAGGAGCAAAAAATTCTGCTGCTTTTTTTCTACTGTAACTAAGAGAAACGAATCGATTTTCATGGAACGGTTAAGGGCATAATATGGCGTGATAGGCGACTGTAAAGAAAGCGCGAAAGGAGAGATCAAAGGTGCATTTCTTGGGTTACTGTGATTTTCTGGGCTTAAAATGTAAAAATTAAACGTCAAATGACGTTCATCAAGATTTTGTTATTACCTTCAAGTATGCATTTCAATGACTGGCGATAAATAAGAATTTGGTTTTGATGATGCGTAGGCTAGCTGCTGCATATTAATGCTTCGTTGATGATGAGTGAGAAAAATGCAAGCATAAAAAAACTGCGGAAATTGAGAGGACGTCTAGGAGCAAAGGACAATATGTTATTTTAGAATGAGCACTGATGTGCTCAAATTGGAAAATGAGCAGATAGCCGTCAAGACATAATGGTTCCAAGAATTGTCATAACGAAAATCGACGTAATCCACGATGACTCTGAAGAGCCACGTGGAGGGCATATGACATGAGCAAACAAAGTATAGGTACACATCACTTGCTGCACATAATGAGTTAATTAATCATTCGATGACAACAGTTAAATGGAAAGCGAGCAGTTTTTGAAGTTATCCATTTACAACGCACTCAAGAGACGAATAATTTGCGTTAATAATTACTTCTCTTATTCATCGGTTCATGCTACATTTTTCACTTGAAAATAGACTTGCCTCAACTAGAATGGTGAGCAAGGAAAAAAATGCAGGAGATTCAAGCAAATAGTTATGTTGTCGCTGTCATATGGTTTAGCTCCCTGTTCTGCTTACTTGGCAGCTGTTAGCTGAGAAGATTGAATAGTTTAGAAGGTATCCAAAAAAAAAACGAAAAGCTGTTATGGCTCGCACAAAGCATCTATCACGAGACTGAAACTAAACTGCAGCGAGCATCATAATTAGAAGCAATCGCAATTTTCTCCTAATAAAGCCTCAAAGAGGAGAAAGAGAGTGAATGAATTTAGACAAGTTGTGCTAATGTGCTCCTCTAAAAAAGTACGCCATTGCTTTCATAAATTTGTGTACTGAGCGGTAATTTTGCTCTAGCAGCAACTCGATTATTGTACCCTAATTTCACGCGTACAAAGCGCGGGGATTTTTTTCCAAAATTGACTAGCCCAAATACGCCAAAGAACTTTGCAACCAAAGGACCCTATGCCGTGCTGTATATTGCTTAAGAGAATCGTATGGCATAGGGATCGCCTTCCGAAATACTTTGGAGCGGCTGAGGGGTTTGATTGAAAAATTGAAAAAGGTGCGCCTTGTACGCGTGGAATTAGGGTAGTTGCCCCTCACTAGTCTAATGCAACAGCCACCTCATTGTTTACTTGTAACTGTCACAAAACATATACCAGCACATGATGGACTTGTGGCTCCACATAAAGTTGCATCCTTACGTTTTTCTGGTAGCAAGCTTTACGAAAATGAATCTATTAGCAGCAACGTTTCATTGTAATTGCAGCCGAGTTCATAGTTATAAGAACGGCTTCCGTAGTCTTATTCTCACATGTTTCTATTGTGTCTTGGCCCAGCCACTACAATGTTGCATTTACTAATTTCTAATGTTAATCGCGGCTACTTATAAATCTCACTGTTATAGCAACACATCTTTTGCTCCCATTGTTGGTGCAGCTACTACACTAATATTTTGTAGTGGTTTTATCAAGCATTTGTGGTTGCATCTGTGGATATATAGCAGCAGCAACTTGAACCTTTGCAGTTGCAGTCTCACGACTTCATGTTGCAGCAACAAGTTTCTTGTTGCTACACGCAAACCCACTTGCAGCTATACGCTGAGGATTTGGTGTTGTTTAACAAGCGTTTATGATTGCATTTTCGTAGTAGTGACGACTAGTTCCTTGCAGTGAAACGCCTCAAGAATTCACAGCTGTGGCAATATTTTCTTGCTCCCACATATTCAATTTTGGATGCAGCTACTATATCGGGGATTTTGTGGCGTTTTCAAGCTTTTGTTGCATATTCTTAAGGATTTTAGTAAAAGGAATTCATTTGATGTATTTGAATTCTCAGGCATCTCAGTAGCAACAATGTTGCTCCACTTTTAAGCGCAGTTATTACACTGAAATTTTGTTGTTGTTTCTCATGTGTGATGGTAAAGAAGAAATATAGTAATGACAATTTATCCCTTGCAGTTGCGACTTTGACTCCAAAGTTGTAGCAATTTTTGCAGTGCTTTCTTCGTTTCCATTGTCCGTGTAGCTACTAAGAACTCTGTGATGATTTTCCAAGCATCGGTTGTTGCATCTTCATGAAGAGAATGGTAGCAGCGAGTTGTTCCTTGCAGCTGAATCCTCAAGGCTGCACACTTGTAGCAACAGTTTCTTCGGTTGCTTCCGCACGTTCTCGTGCACCTACTACACTGAAGCATTTTGTGGTAGTTTCTCAAGTATAGTAGTGGCAGCTTACCTTTGGTGTTGCAGTTGCAGCAACACCAAAGTTGTAGCAATTTCTGCAGTAGCTCCCACCATTTTCGTTGTTGGTGCAGCTACTACACTGAAAAATTTCTGGTGATTTTTCAAGCATCTATAGTTGCATTTTCATGAGGAATAGTAGCGGCTGTTTTTTTGATTGCAGCCGCGAGACTGCACAGTTGTGGCAACATTTTGTAGTTGCTCCTCACCTTTTTGGTGCAGCTACTAGAGTGAGCATTTTGTGGTGCCTCTCAAGTATAGTGATGCCTATTTATCCCTTGCAGTTGCAGCCTCCCGAATTTGCAGTAGCAACAGCAACAGCAATCACAACAACAATAATAAAGCACATGCAAAAGTAGCGACTTACACGTTGATTTTGCCAACAATTTTTCTACATCATTCCCACTTCTTGATACGTCACTATGCTTCTAAAACTGTTGTCTTCAGAGGGTTGTTGGTATTGAAATAATAGCAGTTTTTCATCTCCCAGAGTCCGTCTACCAATTCCTCTTAGTCGGAAAAATCTTTTTCTTTCTTTTTAGTACGCATTTTCAGTGTAGCAGCCCGCACTTTGTTCCCTAGGAGCTGGTCCATCTGAACCATCCATATCTGCTGCAGCTATGGGGAGGGGGCCTCAGATTGAGCAGAATGGTAAGAGAAAAAAAAAGTTTCAAAGATCGTCAATGTGCTTCCAATAAATATGAGTGTACTTCTTATCCTCTTTCGTGCTCGTTACATCATACGTATGTGTAATAATTGATAGCAATCACTTTCTTCTACACCGACTATGACATGACGCTTTGCAAACGCGCGACCATGCTGGTTGTAGTTTTTTCTGAACAACTGCTATTATCAGTCGCAAGACTGCAGCTGATTGCTGCAGCGTCATGGAACGCAGTTCTCGACACACGAAATGCAGGGGCGCACCTTGAGAAACCTTACAACTTTGGTCCAAAAGGTTTTTTCTTTGTCGCCCCTGTGAATAGGCAGATGCGGGCCAATGTGTTTCGTTCACCTGCACTCGATTTTAACGATTTCATGAGAATCTATGCTACTTGAGATTTTTTAATCAACAAAAAATTTCAGTTCATTGAATCAAGTAATGGCCTGATGTTATGCCATTCCAGAGATAGACTTAGATTGCTTCAACCGTTTTGAATGCTAAGTGGCCAAACCGCTCGTTTGTGGAACAAGCAAGACATTCGGAAACTGTCATCCAGGATGATTGAAAGCGCAGTGAGCAGAAGTATTTCGTTGGCAGATATAAAGAGAGGCATCAATGTGAAGCAATGAGCATAATATCGCAAGCCAATAGACATAATATTAATCAGGCATTCCAAATTTCGCATGAAAAAGTGATGCTTCAGCACAGCAATAATGGCGTATTTGCAGACCAAAATGTGAGGCGGAAGTGACGCGCGTGAGAAGTGTATGGAAGTATTGGGTAATCGGAAATGAGAAATCGCTGTTTTTTTTAAATTCTCGATAGAAATCAGAGATCAAATGTTACGAATAGCATCATCGCTTTCATCAACAGAAATTGCTAGAACGAATATCACGATTTCATATGAATGAAATTACTGCTATCGTCCTTCTAGATGCTTGAGGCCTTCAACAATACGGTACCATAGTTGGTGTGTAGCACACGTACACTAAAATATGCTAAAATGTCATACTTTTCTTATTTTATTTAGATCATAATATACCAAAATGTAAATAATAAAAAACTACAGCAAAACGTTGAGCAGATTTTGTTTGGCCAAAATACCCAGATGTTTTGGAACAGTAAGAGAATAAGTACTATACATATCACTACATTGATCCTAGCGGTTATGAGCACTGTAACAAACTAAAATTGTGTTGAGCGGAATTTTTTCAGCCAGGGAAACGAATGACTCTTGAAGATTCCACTCCAGCTTTCGTAGCAAAATTCACCACATCCTTTTCCATGGTTTTGCTACCGCAGACGCTTACCTAAACGCTCAAACCGTGAGTCTAAAAATTTTTAAACATTTGAAGGCGGCTTCTACTTACCGTGACATTCCCTGGCTTTGCTTTACTTATTGCAGCAAATTGCTCCAAAAACACTTCCTCATCAAATCTCTTATCGACGCGCTCGAACAGATAAGGCAGTTTTCCCTATAAAGAAGATTAAGTATTAAACATAATGTCATTCGAGGAAAGTGCGAACAATAAAAGACCTCTAGAGCTGATCCGCAAATTGCTACGGAAATGTTCCATTGACTTGACCACTCGACAAGTTGTTCTTCGAAAAGTATATCTTTACAGCTGCGCACACAATACAGCAACCGAATTCGGATTTCTGTTCCGTCATCTTCCAAAACCTCGTCGACAATTCGAACAAATGGCGCGATTCCTGTGCCTCCAGCTATGAGAAGTAGATTCGATGACTGTAAAAATTGCTAATATTCATGCACTGGAGCAATATCTCAATGAAGTCTGCTACAAACCCCTTCCTTCATCCAAGCGATACTTTCCGGATATGGTCCGCGCCATTCAACTTTGTCGCCAATTTTCCACTGCTTCACGTATTTTGTGAGCTTTCCATCATCGTAGATCTGTATGAACAGCCTTTATTTGGAAAAAGAAGCAATTGGGATTCGTACCTTTATGGGGATTTCGAAATGCTTTGAGTCTATGGCGGTTGGTGTATATGGTCTGGACAAATTTTCACTGCCAGCGCTTTTTCTGCAAATAGAATTTTTTCATGGTGTTGTGGAAGGAAGTGATGCAAAGATACAGCATATCATCAAAGCCCCTTTTTCCCCTTTTTTGAATATCGATTAACTTTCTTACGATGCTGTTAGTGTGAGTGTATATCACTGTGCAGAAAACATATAAGAAATCTCTTTATTACATTTGGAGAGCAGGGGGACATTCATATAAAAGCCTGTTTGAAAGACATCTTCTAGGACTTGTTATAGTCTGGAGCTCTACTAGAGACAAGTTTGATGAGCAAAAAAAAACTCAGCAGAAACTCGTTTTTTCACATGTAATGATAAACAAATAGATGACATACTATAATGTCCAAAATCATGTAATCTTATAATTTTTCAAGCTGTGCAGTGAAAGCATCCATCGATACTGCAGATAAACAAGGTCAATCTTCGTATTACGATACACATACAGATATTTGCTCAAAAAAGGCAACCACATATATCACAGAAATTCAGCAAGATGCTGCAGAAAAGAGTACGAAGAATACAATATATCTTGCCGAATAATCACAAGATGACATCGACATTTCCGTCCAACGCAGTAAATCGTGGATCACAGAACCGTAAGAAGAAAAAACTAGAACAGCATGTTCAAACGAGATCTAGACAGTAATCATGAGGATGTAGCCGACAAGGGCTAAATATGGCTTCAATAATGGGCCAATATAAGGTGTCCATAGTATGTATTCTACTATAAACCAATATGCTTTGAATTGAAGACGTCCCCACGATGGGAATGTCCGCCGCACCTCAATTTTACCTGCTTCCATTCGTTCACGTGCCAATCTTACCTGAAAATCAACAAATAAATTTAGTTAAAGGCACAAATGAGGATAAAAAGCTCGAAAACACTGCATGGCACCGACGACATGCCGTTCAAGGAACAAGATTTTGCAAAAGCTATTCCCATGCCGGGAATCGAACCCGGGCCGCGTGGGTGAAAACCACGAATCCTAACCACTAGACCACATGGGACACATCGTTGCGATACGCGACGTGCTCTATTCGATAAAGTGCTAGCGAAGCGTCAGACCTTTTCGTGATCGCAAGTTCCATTGCTATCGATGAATTGGAAACCGAACTTTCCAAGCTGCATGAGTTTTGATCCACCATCTTAAATATCAAAATGAGGATTATAATTTACAGGAACAACTGGCAAATGTTCCAGAGGAAGTTTACTCGCGAAAAATTACTGCGAGAAATGACTGGGCCTAAGGAAGCACAAAAAGTCCCAGAGATATTTTTATTCTGACCAAAAAATCACAAAAAACTTAGGGAATCGTCTCTTTACCTGTCTCGCAGTCCAGCTGCATTATATAAGGTGGATTTTTCTGTTCTGAATACATCCATTCCCATGAATGTGCCAATCTAAAATTAGTTACATATTTAATTTTTAACATGGACAACAAATCAGGGCTCGGCACAGATGGCTTACAGCAAGCTGGATATCGTTTTTGGGACAAAAAGCAAAGGGGGCTTTTTTTTGCGGCCGAAAAGACATAAAATTTGCGGTGTTTTTTTTAGTCGACGTTACGTTTTTTTCTGAGGAAAATTTAGGGATTATGGTTTAGGGTCAGAGAGGACTTCGTAAAAATTCGCAACATTCAAGGGGGAATTAGTTTTTTGTATTTTCATGAAACCACCTCGTGCCGAGCCCTGACAACAAATTGCAAAAACTAAATTTGTAACGTCGAAAGGAAGTTTTGCTTATATTAACATATATTCAAAAAACTCACTCATAAGGAAAATAAGCGCATCTAGGACGACTCCAAGTATGACACTGATGGATCATTACACCCATATCCGGTGTGTACCAATGTGCCAGCTTATCTGACAGTCTCTCGAAGAATTTGATGGTATCATTGTTGGCTCGTATGAAGAAGTTTGCGCCTTAACTGACAAAGCTTAGTCTTGATGATGTACTCACCAAAAACTACTGAGCTTTAATGGTACCAATCCGATCCCTAGAAAGCTGAAATCAATCCCATATCCATATCAAGTAAATGATTACACACATTTACGCACCCTCTAATCAACATTTGCAGACAAAGAGACTGGCAGTAACCTTGACACACTGGCGAAAATCAATTATCATCGACTATCCACATTATGGACGCGAATTCAGGTCAATAGGGACACAGATTTGATAACCATCACAGATAGAAATTGAAAAACCGAGATGTAAAAAATCAAATCGTGATGTATTACCGTTCACCCAGTTCGTTCTCATGCTCTTCTCGTCCACTCCAAGCTGATCGAAGATGGCATCATATGACGTGTTATCTTCGAAACCGAGTTCAAAGAGGTTTTTCCGCCAGAATGTGTCCTGCTGCATCATCCAGAATGACTTGCCTCTGAAAAGAAAATTGCGCAATTCTTACCTCCAGTCGTAAACTTGAAAATTAGGAAAATTGCCAAGTTATGAAGAGAAAATAATTTTCCCACTAGGGAGAACTTCTTATAAAAGTATAAAAGTAAATGCAAAAAATAGAATGGAAGTCAACGAATAACAAAAAGAAGTTTCACAAACTCACTTTCTTAGAAGGGCTACAGCCAAATTGGCCCGAAGTAGATAAATTGTTTGATATGGTCCCTCGGCAAAACTGAATGGTTTCTAAAAAAAATTAAGAATTATATAGGCTCCGACTCTCAGATATCATAACACCCTGCTCTGCCTTTATTTCCTTTGCTTTTTTATAGCAAATTTTTGATTGCACAAGCGCACAAACATGTAAATAAATACAAGGCTCAATCCTCTCGTAAATTTCGCGCAACACATTTTATTTTGCCAGAATCGCCCAAAAACTAGTTAATCTCTGCGGTCAAGAGATCAGTCTCTCAAATAACCCCCAAAACTCGCGCACACGGTGTTATGCACACGTTTAATCGGTCAACTGGCTACTTGCAACTATACGGTCAGCGCATTTCAATGCGACGAAAACGCCAAGTTGGGGCGATCGCGCTGTACGTAGACATGCGAAATCCGCCAGCGACGCATGAATATACAGGCAAAAAAAAAGAAGAATGCAAAGAATTGAGTCGTAAAGGAAGGAACTGGACTTACATAGAGACTCGGAGTGGGCCAATGAAATTGCCGAATATCCGGCCAATTCCTCTTGAGCTCATCTCTGGCCACCGTATCCAATGTGACGAATATCAGCCTCTCATGTACTCCAGGCAAACTGGCAGTATTGCACAGAAAGTTGTAAGTCATATTGAGAGCGTATTGATTGAGCAGTAAAAATGCTGGAGGCCTTGTGAACTCCTCATCCAGCATTTGTATCAAATCATCAAATTCTCGAGAATTTTCGATGATTTCTTGTGCAACAGTGTGTCCATGTCTCTTCACATAGCGCACAGCTGCGATGGCGTTTTGCGTTTTTCGCAACACAAGAATTCCAAAGGTAAACCAGAAGGCGTAGAATAGAATTACAGGTATTTTGAAGAGGATTTTTTCCGTGTTTGAGGTACTACTTCTGCGTTTCTTGGTGGCAACTGATACTTCCGCTGTAAGTGACGTTTTGTCGCCTTTGCCATTCTCGCCTTCGGTCGCGGAAGCGATCTGGCGACGACGCAGCTCGGTGGTCATTCGCGTCGGATGTGGCGCTCTTTTCGGTGGCTACGTTGCAAATCGCAGGTGACGGCGACCTGAAAGCAGTGAGCCGTGCGAGTGAGCGACAATAAAACCGAAATTGACGCAGCGGTCGCTAGCGATGTTGCGCCGGGCTATCCCAGAACAGAGGACTGGGGAGAAATTGATTTAAATGGATACGAAAGGCGAAAAGAAAGGTGTTGAGTCGCGCCAGAAGAGGAGAAATCTCACTGCAAGATAGAAAGACAATAGAATATAATAGCCTCCACAGCGACAATAAAACAGCTACCAACAATAACTTCAATATACGCTCAATCTCATAACTTTTCGATGATCTGAAGGAACGCTTGTCCTCACAAAGGTGTTAAATAGTTAAACCTTGACCCAACAAAAGGATGACATTGCGCACCTTCGGCCGTATAACGACACTCCTATACGCCTACATTTGTGACATGAGTGATCAGCGACCCGAAAAAATCCCGATAAAATAGGTCTGAGAAGTATGAATGTAGATGGTTGAACGGTCGCATCGTATGCTACAGGACATGTGGAAAATAAAACAATTATGGGAATTGTATCCATAGATGTATTTTACACCTAAACTTTAGAAGGTATCATAAGAACCTTCGAACAAAAATCAGCAAACGGAAGCCTTGAAACGATGTGAATACTAGACAGATTTAATGTTAAAGAAGTAATAGAGGATGTTTTGACGTTTTCGCTAGCATGGATGTATACAAGAAAATAACTGAAAAAATCGTTGATGCAGTGACTGGTCTTCTGTACCCATTTTTGAAGAAAATTTTGATTAGAAGTGAGAGGAAAAAAATTGGGATTTGAAGCTGAGTATCAACAAGAGTAAACCTATCAGAGAGTGATACATGCACCAAAGTCGAAGTTTTAGCGTATCGTTTTCGATGGGCTCAAAAAATGAATACAACTGAAAACTATCAAAATTATGTAAATTATCGAATGACACTACTTACTGCGAAGCAACAAACTCCAAGGAAACCTCTAAATCGGATAATCACTCCGTCAAAAGAGTAGTGTGACTCAGCAAACAAAAGTTCAACGAAAACTAGGCACGAAAAAGAGCGAAAACCGGTTGTGGAGCTCAGTAAGACTCTAGAGAAGAGAAATCTGAATAGGAATGTGTGTGATCAATGGAATGCGGCAAATGTGACGATGTCCAGGAGGGAAAGACAAAGTCATCACGATGTACTGAACGACTCTTGACAATACTTTTGAATAGTGAAGAGTGAATGATGACACAAAAGAAGTTCGTCAAACGGCACACAATGAAGTATAATTCCAACCATGCGGCTGCTGCTGGTTTTCTTCAAGGTCGGAAGAATTTCGGTGGTATTGGAACCGCATTACGTTAGTGACTACAGAAATGGTATTCAATCTATAAAAAAGGGAAAATGGTTGCATGTTCTATTTATGCAGAAAAAAAAGGAAAATCGTGAACGCAGGTGGGGAGCGGATATTGGAAGATGTGAACTGCGGCGAATAGGCAGTCACGCTTGGGAGAGAAAGAGAGAGATACGTGATTCAGCCGTAGGAATGGGTCGTCCAGAGAGTCATATTAAGACATTCGAGGTTTTATTTACAGATAGGGAAGCAGCATTGTATTGACAAAGAGAGGAAAAAAGAATGTTGGGAGTTATGAAAAGATTATGTCCAAAATATCCAGCGAGTCATGCTAAATTTTGTTACGGAGAGGAATGTAAGGGTTTCTTACAAGGGAAGTCACTTAACTTAGGTCGGGCTTTTGAAATGAGACACATATGTTTGGAATCAGCTTGAAACGCTGATTTCAAATCTGCTTTCCCTAGCTGCGAAGCGTTTCTCTGAAGCGAGTTATGAGCTTTTTCCTGAGCAAATTTTGCGTGTTGACTGACTTAGACATGCTACGGTATCATCATCTAGGTAGTGGTTCAAGTGCATATTATATCCTATCAAAGCCAAATGACTCAATTTGATGTTATTTTGATTCTCCACCACTTTTTGGGCAGATTTTCATCTAAAGACCTTCTTTCCATATTCAGTTGTATGTCAATGACACATACTAAAAAAGCTCATAACTCGCTTCAGAGAAACGCTTCGCAGCTAAGGATAGCATATTTGGAATCAGCGTTCCGAGCTGATTCTAAATATGTGTGTCTCATTTCAAAAGCCCGACCTAAGCTAAGTGACTTCCCTTGTTAGCAAAAAAAATCACTGACTTAGTAGAGAGAGGTAAAGATCTATAACAAAAAGGATGGCCTCAGAGCTTTTGGGAGTTATGAAAGGTCCAAAATATAGCGGGTGATGCTGTATTTGGGGGGGGGGGGTGGTTAGATGGGAATGTGAAACTTTTTTAGCGGAAGAAAATTATTTAAAAACTTTTTTTAAAATAAAACAATAAGGATGGCCTTAGGGCTGTTGGGAGTTATGAAAATATAGCGGACAACGCTAATTTTTACAAATTTTTTTCCAGATTGGAATGTAAAAGTTTTTTTTTTCAACGAAAAAATATTAGTTGGTAAAGAGAGGAAAAGACGGGTGTTGTTATTGGGAGCTATAAAAATTTTTTCAGTGCCCAAAATATGGAAACCACTTTAACACATGGAGACCACCATTCTGCCTTCTTGACTGTGTCAGGCCATCCTTTTTGTCATAGATCATGGGTGAAGTGATTCTTGAATATGGAAAGAGCTTTTTGGCGCATAAATGTGTTGCTCACCCATCGAATAACAAAAAGACATTCGAAGAAAATGGAATGAGATTCTCTATTGTCGACTGGAATGAATGAAGTGCATGGCGCAATTTTTCACCCTCTATTATGCTACTGTCGCGCAGAAAACTTGTCTACGTTCACGCAGCGCTGCGAACACCCAGAAAACATCGCAATTTTCGTGCAAAGCAAGCCTCGATGTGTCACGACTGTAGACTGGCTACTCTACTGGTCGAAGCATGTAGAACTTGTAGCCCATTCGATGATTAAGGTCCATAGAGCCTACCGAATATGACCGAATCAGAGAGGATATTGCAGAAATGCTGCAAAATGACTGAAAGACTTCTCGATGAGACTATAGTGATTAAAGGCCCAAATGGGACAGTTAACGGATATGCGGGAGAGATCTGGTTCGATTCCCGAAACCACACGACCTTGGACGTCGCTTAGACATGATCGGATGCATGCCAATGAATGAGTCACGGCGGGATTATAACCATTCCCACATCCTTCGTATCCTGCGGATTACAGTGAAACGATACAGCAACTATTGTAGACATTGGGAAGACGAGCACATCTCCCAAAAAATTTTAGAGCCTAACTCCGCGTAGGCTAATTGTGCTTTAAAGCTGGTACTGAGCGAGCTTTACAAAGAATGAGATCTATGTCATTGCGAAGGATACTAAATGGAAGAACAGTGATGAATTTGGGCAAAAAACCTCACTTACAGCACATTTTCTGGCTCTCCGGGAGGGAAAGCGGTGACAAGGAGTGAAAAATCGTCTACATAGGGCAATTTTTCATTCTTCAAGACAACCTGCCTCCTTTTTCATTCTTCAAGACAACCTGCCTCCTTAGAAATTGCAGAGAAAGCATAAATGCTTAGCTGCAAAAACCTCCATCAATTTTACCGAAAATGAAATAAGCCGGAAAAGCCCGGGGGCACAGCCTTCGTACTCAAGCCGGGAGATTGTTTGATCCCAGCAAGTTCAGCATTTCGTGTAAAAGCAATGTCATGTCTTCTTCAAAGCATGCAGAAAAAAATTTCTAGAGGGTACTGAAGATATGCACGCCTTAGACAAAATACGAAAATTTTGCGAGAAAATGAAAAAAAAGTTACGGGTTGGCTGATTATGGCAGGAACGAAAGCAGTTGCGAGGTGATAGTTTGACCTCTTTTGGCCTTCAAAAAAAGTGCATGCGTCTTAAAGAAGGTCTTTGAATCCAGTTTTTATTCGGCAACGCCAAATCGGTGCTAAAATAGAACAATTGCAAAAGCATGAAGTTTGAGCTTTCAATTGGTCAGAATAAATAGAGAAGAAATATCAAGAAGTTAAATGCACATCTCTTGCCAAATTAAATCCTTCAAAGATCTGAAAGAATCGGATTCAAAGAACTTTCAGATAGACAGAAGGAGCGTAAAAATCCTGAATAAGTGAACGATTCGAGTTCATCACGCAAGTCCAAAAAGCTAGATAAGAGGCATCGAAGAAGAGAAGTCTTTACCGCACTTTCTAATCCAGTCCACGATTGCTTGAGTGCCCCCTTTATAGCGAGTTTCTTTCACAATTCCAAGCCTAAGTGGGATTTGAGAATTCGCGTCATCTGCTGGGCAAAGAAAAGATTGTATATACCTGTTGTGTTATCAGCTTACTACAATAACTTCTCAAAATTTATACCTTTCGAGGAAAGGAAGGGAAGAAACGAACAAAATTCTTTCACAAAATTTTTGTAAATATTCTGCTTACTAACATATAACCAAATTTTACAACTTATACGGGCCAAAAAAATATCTGGACCCGTAGGTGCCACTGTTCCCCCTTTTCCTTCCCATCCGCTTGATATAATTCACCTCCTCAAATTTCTTAACGGAAAATTCTCAAAGGTTTCCTGATAGGTCGAGAGCTTCAAATGATTACAAATTTTGTTATGTAAAAGGAACGGTTACATTTATGTAGATAAAAGGCTCTCTTTGCAAAAAAAAAACTCACTACGCTCAATATACTAATACTTTTTTATTCGAAAATTTTTGAGTACTTAGGAAACACAACTGGCCGTATGGGAAGCGTCTTATCAGGAAAGCCAGGATAAACTGGCTGTGAATCCGAATGATATCTAAGAGAAAAGTCAGCGGAAAAGTAAAGATTTTATGTACAGCTAGTTACTCGATGTTAGACGTTCCACACCTACACCTAAACACTACCAGTTTCTTCGCAGTTCCGTTGTCAATTACACCAATTACACATGCAAGACCGTAAATCATATCAGTAAATTGATTAGCAAGTGAGTTTTCGCATGGACAGGTCTCTCGGATAGGAAAGAAGGTGATGGAGATAGAAACAAGATTTGGTTTGGATTCAACCCGATTTGAATAGGAAGAGTAGAAGAGCCTCTGTATAATTCTCTGTAAGGTAATTTTTCAATGGCACAAAAAATAGGAAATTTAGAAGCAGTCATCTGCGTCATAGTAAAAGAGTGATTTGATCAGTTTTGTTTCAGAGTAGGAAGACAGTCTTTTCTTCAAAACTATGGTGAGGAAAATGGCAAGGATCTTGCGTAAAAACTACCACACCTGCTTTCTACAAAAGATTAGGGTTCTTCTTTGATGTGCAATTACACATTTTCCAGGATACCAGTTATAAGCTGCGGCCGCAAACCAGATGTGCGTGTATGAAAAAGTTTACCTAATAAACCTTTGCTCGAACAGATATGAAAAGCAAGAAAAAATAAGAAAAAACAAGACCCAGTGGCCGATACCATCCTGGAAAAAGTGTAACCGCACACATTCGCATGGAACCTACTCGACTGTGGCTACATAGAAACTCTGGAGAGAGCATGAACGGACTCATCGAATGTTTGATGCAACTCCCATGCAGACCATTTGGGTTTTAATAGTGGTAGCTATGGTAGCACAAACAGGATAATATAGGATGATTTGGAACGACGAGGGTGGAGCCGTGTCGACGTATCGAGGTCAATTTGTGGTGAAATCGCCGACCACAACAACCTCAAAGCGATTGGACAGCAAAAAACAGTGTTAGCGGTTGAATGGAACAGAATGCAAATTTGCGGATAAAATTCGACATTTTGATGTAATCCAAGGTTAACCTTGACAAATCCGATAACACCGCGATTTTCAAACCAATTAGCCGATGATGATGTGACCGAAACGTTCCAAATACTATCGTAAATGTTTTGCACATGTGACACTTGACGCGGTCTACTAATTTTTTGGATTATGATTTGCTCAGCTGGCATGATTGCTTGACAAAAGAACACCAACTTTGAGTGAATGGCGATGCAAAGAAGCAGAGGAGTTCAGGTCATACGAACTCAAGAATGACTCAAACTAAAGATAAAGATGGAAATACTACGGAGTATATCTCAAACTGCCTACGTAATTGTTGTTCTAAAGCTACTAGACCGCGCCGCAGTGGTGGACGCAGCGGCGCAGATTCTGTGTTGCCGATTCAACCATAACGCTGATTTGCTTGTCTAAGCCGGCCGGAATCGAATCAGCATGTGAAAGATGTAAAAAGCGAAGGCTCCCACCTTGCAAAGTCCATTTTTAAGTGGAGGCTCCATTGTTGTTGTCAAGTGAGTTTAAACGAATACCTGAAAGAGCAATAATAATCTTGAACACAATTTTGAGTAAGCGCTATCAATAACCTGTATCCTAAGCCCAAAAGGCTTTAAACGCGTGCCCACATTGTCTGAACATGAGTGAACTTGTTCTTTCCTGGTTCCAGAGATAGTAAATAATGCGATAGATGACACAGATTAAAGCATGAACCTGTCAACCACACGTTCATGCTTGTTTTGACAATTCCTGCAAAGCGATTTCGAGTTTTTGGCTCTCACAATGAATGGTTATCATTCATAGCTTACATAAAAACTCACACGATGAAACGTTTAAAATGTGGAATGTTGAGGATTCTCAGTAATGGGTGTGAAGCGTCCTAAACTTGAAGATGGCAAAGAAGGATATGAACGGACAGCGAAAAATACAACAAACACACAATGAGATAAAGCTATAAGTAAATGGAAAGATGCAGCAACGCGCGACTCAGGCTAATCAACAGAGAACTAAAGCATAAAAATAAGAAATCAGTTGTACTACAGTGGTTACGGTAGCTTCGTTTATGGAAAGCAATATGTGAACATCTTCCAGGATTTCTCACTGGCGAAGTTTAATTTACTGTAGTTCCTGGCTACGAATTTTACTACATTTTCAACTTCTCGTCTGAAAGATATAGACGTGGGACCTCATTCGCGGGGTACAAAAATCCATGTTATCGCTCTCACGTCTCTGCAGTCTCAAACTTTTTCCCGTGATGAAATCCAATTCCCCCGCTCCTAATTGATTTTCCCAGGAACAAACATTTAAATGTCCTGAATTTTTAGACTAAGAATCTGCTTTTTTCTGAAGCTGAGCACAGAAACAACTGTATTTGCTTTTGTAGACCCGTAGGCGTTCCCGGTCAAAGCGGTTACACCGCGATCAGCTGGAGCGCTCTAATTCACATTCCAGACCTATAACAGCCGTCCTTGAAAGTTGAGAAAAGCTGTTGCTTTTTCTTTCCTCTACTTTTCCAGTTAACGCGATTGGTTGTCATTTCTTAATTGGCAGTTTATTGCGTTTGATGTTATCAAGCAGAGTGAATTCTTAACATCCATTTTCAGCAGTGCTTGTTTTCCGTGCGGTGCAGTAGATGTCCAAGGAAAGGAGGGAGAAGTCGCCTCAGTCCAAGGAAAAAAACTCCCACAGCTCACACAACTCCCGCTACAGACCTTATCACAACCATAGGAAACACGGTGCAATTAACAATGGGAAACGAATTCCAGATAGGTGAAATATGCATAAACAAAACAAGAGTCTTTGAAATCGCACTTTCAATAAACTGTTTTCGTTTTAGATGGTTGAATTATGATCCAGTTGGTCGGGATCTTGAGGGAACTCCGTTCGTGCCATTCAAAACACCTCTTGACAAATCTTTTTTCATTGGAAAGGAGGACTTATCCGAAAGTGAATGCTTCGACGTTGACCGGATAGTGAAATATGTAGGTTATCTCATTCTCACAAAACAGAGCCGTTGGGGATATTTCCTTCCCGCAGGCTAGGGAGCAGGGTAAAACGATAGGACTCGTTGTTGATCTCACAAATACGGACAGGTACTATAAGAAAACTGATTGGGATGAGTACAACATAAGATATGTGTGAGTTATCCCTCAGCGCATGGTTAACCAAAATTGTTTTTTTCTTTACAGTAAAATGAATTGCCCGGGACATGAAGTGAGCGACCGCGAAGACATCATTCAAAAGTTTATGGAAACTGTTGACGATTTTGTTGGCAACCCTGACAATAGTGAGTTTCGGAGAACTTTCTCTTTTAATGTTATTGAGGATTATTTCAGGTGATAAATTGATAGGCGTGCATTGTACCCATGGATTGAATCGTACTGGTTACTTGATATGTCGCTATCTCATTGAGCGGAAAGGATGGTCTGCTGCGCAGGCAATATCATGCAAGTACATTCGATTATTCTATTCTTACACTGCTTCTTTCATTGATACTGATGCACGTCTTAGATAGGCGCCAGGACTTATCCAATTGGCCGCTTATCCGCTTCATGACTGAAAGCAGTGATTGGACCAATCATGAAGCGGGCTAATCGGATAAGTCTGACTCCCCTAATTAACTGAAGCAATTTCTGTCAGGCTTGATACATAATTGGCGTCGGGCATACCTCAGCTGCTTTGAGCTGCAAACAGCTGCTTTGGTTTGAATTTACCTATTTTTTTTTACCAATTTTCAAGTTGCTAGCGCTTTAGAAAAGAAGTCCGTGTTTTTTGCATGAGTAAGTCATAGATGCAACCTAATACCACAAATTAGGGTTCTAGAGGCGGATATGGGAAAATATTGAGACGAACTGGAGGGACATACTCCGTGAACTTGAAGAGATATGTAATCAAAACCAAGTAGAGATTGGTAATAATTTAGGAAGCTGATTGTGTAGTCAGATAAAATTCGGCTTCTGCTGGACTCCGATCATGTCATCGCGTGAGGGGACACTATCATACTGCTGGGACAGCCAATGCCCTGATAAGAATCAGAATGGAATAAGTACACTTGAATGCTCTCTTAAGTTTGCTCGTATGGTAAAAATTTTAATGAAAATGGAGCACGAAGAACTCATAAAAGAGGAATATGACTCCAGATCCACCTTAAAACATGCTGATTCTCTTCTTTTTGGCACAATAAGCCTTGACGATAGCGCAGTTACTGATGGTTTTTGTTTTAACATGCACTCAAGAAGCAGGAGACTGCAGCGCTGCCTTCGCTGCTCGCTGGTTTTGTCCATACCTAAGAGCGAGGTGTGTATCAAGCCTCACTGTCTACGGTCGAATTATTTGTCGTGTAGATACCATAGACTGTATTTTCAGTGTTTGAGTTTTCGCGTGGTCATCCTATCGAACGCGGACACTACAAGAAGAGTTTGTACGAAGCTGAGGAACGGATACGAGAGGTATGACAACTGAGCATTTGGTTTTTGTAAAGCAAGGCCGTTCTCATCATGCTTCAGTGTTAGCCTTGCCATAAAGAATGAAGTTTAAGGTTACGATTCATGTAGGAATCGAGAGTTTGAAGAGGCTATACGTACTCAAAAGTAATGCATAATCATTTTCTGAAGACATATTATAGAATGCGCTGTCAACGAAATCAGCAAACGGACAAGCATGATCAACGAGCAACGGATCCTGTGCCTGTGAATAATCGCTATCTATCTGGTAATGCATCTCTGTCCATGATCACTGTGCATTTTTGCTGTTGTTGAGAATCAAATTTTGTGTGTACGGGTCTCTAGCATCTTGAAGTTTTTGAACTTGGGAAAGATGTGTGTTTGGTTACGCCATTCAAAATGTTGTTCTCTTATGCTCTGCTTACCCGATCATTGTTAACATCATTCAATCCCAAATCTGGTGAATATCTCTGGCAATAAAAAGGTGAATTACGAACACTGAATTATATATCGGATTATCTACCTTGTTCGAAGATGACTCCCAAGTGGTAGATTTGGCTTTCCATGAGAGATAGCGAACTTGTATAGGTTTGTGTCATGTGAAAGAGGTCTTACATCCAGTAACTCAAACGGTCTAAAAAATTTGGATGTGAGTTAAGGTAGTTCCAATCTTGAACCGTGGACCTGTATTCACTTCTGGAGAAAACGAGTTCAATCGAATCATCTTCTAAGCAGTCATCGTGATAGAAATGGCTGTAGAGAGTTGATTCTGCAAACAGTTCTAGAGCTTTCTGCCCGTAGGGTCTACGTATCATATCGGTCATCAAGAACCTCAGAATTTGCTTGATAAGAACTCTCGGAACACAACAAATGTAGGTAACGTTGCAGAGAACAGGTGGGCTTGCAAGCCTACCGCTTGGGAACACGGACTTATCTTTCTTCTATTTAATTTTGGTTGCTTTGTCTGGAAAGCATCTGAATGCGGTTATTTGAAGGCAGTGTCCGGGCAAGTGGGGGTTTTGGGATTTCAGTGCCAGTGAGAGTGGCCCCCTCAGACACAACATCGCGCAAGTGCGACGTCATAACGCTCGATCTAAAGCGAGAAAAACGACCGGAAATTGGGGAAACTTACGCCTTGGGGCGGAGTCCAACCTGTCCGAGTTCCTGCTATGCGGCAGAGTACGCATGCCGCCACAGTCAAGATCTTCGGGTCCCGCAGAAACTCTGCGTCTCAGCCTTGGCGGGGACCGTCGAGTTTCAAATTGTAAGGCTTTGGAAAACGCATTTTCTCGCCGTTTTCGCGACTTCTAATGTGGATTTTTGGATTCAATGATTGCGGATTGCGAATAACCCCCGGAAGTGAAATTGAGTTTCTGCCCGGACACTGCCTTTGAGTAAAATCATGAGATAGGTGTTTTTCCTAAGTTATCGTTCATACCGCGCACAAAGGCGGACGAAGGCGGACAAAGCCGGACAAAGCCGGACGAAGGCGGACGAAGCCGGACAAAGGCGGACGAAGGCGCGTCTTGTCTCGTCTCGTTTCTCTCGACACACACACACACTCACACATGCCTTCGTCCGCCTTTGTGCGGCTTCGTCCGCCTTCGTCCGCCTTTGTCCGGCTTTGGCCGGCTTCGTCCGCCTTTGTGCGCGGTATGAACGATCCCTAAAGGAGACTTTCAGAGGAGATAACAAATAATGGGATAGCCGAGTTGTTATTGTTCATCCTAGGTCGGCCATAGATTCAGATAGAAAAAGTCGATCTGCATTGGTGGGGAGTATGTTCACAACAAACGTTCTACCAACCTTCATGTGGTATTCGTTTTGCACACTCTTTGGCCCAGCGGACGACATCTTCGTGGTGTATGTCGAAGACGCATGGACGACAAGATTGCCCACAGCAGTCCTGGAATCAAAGGCCCATGAAATGTGGCTGTTGCTTCCTGAATCATGCACTTTAACAAGCTCCATTGTAAGGAAGTGTTGGAAAGCTCCGCAGCGCCTCAAAAGTTGAGGGATATATAGTCCCTCTTTTGTTGTAGACCCGATGCTCGATTAACACTGTCGAGACAACGGAAAGTTAGAACCCTCGCCTTCGCGCGAAAGTGCCTTTTAAGCCTTCCGAATCTGTGCAAAAACAAAGTAATGTCAGCTTTGCCATCAGCACCTAGCCCGCCTTGCTTAGTATAGCTGAACTTGGGGATAAGGTCATTGTTGCCCGTGTTCCGCATCCGATCTAGATCCAATCACGCGTAACTATAAAACTTTGGGAAGAGAGGATGCGAGCTACCTGCGGGAATGGTTCCTGCGGCTCTTCTTCCCAGTCTATCGTCTCTTCTTTGTTCTCTGTCATATAAATTCTGACCATGTGTACAAGCTTATCATCTTTTTGTCCAGCGATAGTCATCTGAAATTTATCGAGAGTACTGAAAACCCACAGAAACTCATCAGGTACTTTTAGAACCCATTTTGAAATGAGCGAAATGTCTTCCGTTGGATGTGTGAAAAGAATAAAAAATCAAAAAAGATTCTAGTTTTTTATCAAGAGCGCGCGATGCCGCGCATACTTGTGCGACGTCGCGCGCAGAAACTGATGTTCCTCAGATTCATTTTACTTTTGGCGCTTACGAATATTGTACTAAAGTCTTTTTCTGTCACCTAATAATCAAGGCCTCGAAGAAAATTTGTTTACTGCTGTGTAGCGTAGAGCATCTTGTTAGCAGTGAGGCAGCTGTTTGAAGTGGGGATGAATGTTGAAAGACTTTCCCTGATTTCATTCTGATGAAGGAGCTCTTTTTTATGTAATGTCCACTCCTAAGTGCAGCGAGGCATCGATTTTCGATGTGTGTGTAGAACCCTAATATCGTTTGCCTTCCCAAGAGCCGCTGTCGCATTGATTCCTTTTAATGCCTTACTTTCAATGACACTACACACATCTCTTTTCAGTTAATCCATTCAGTTGAACTTCAACATGGGAAAAAAGCGAAAGCTAGCGTGAGTATTATATCCTTCGTTTGCGCACTTGAATACCTGTCTTAGACCCAGTTTCAGTCAAGTAGTGTGGTTTATTTGGTCCTGATTCGCACTTAAAACTTGTGGCCACCAGTTCTTTGATATAGAGTGCGAATTTCCGCATTCCAGATCTGCGCATATCGATTTTGAGGAGGAGAATGAGGAATTGCAAGACGATGTGGATAAATTCCATGCTGCGGACCGCAAATTAGAAGCCAATGCATATAAGAAAAAGAAGGTTTGGCCTATTTCATTATTTTCTTAACTGTAGCACTCTGTTTTATGGTCTTGCTCCTCGCTTCTGACAGTTGCTTTTCAGGCAAGAACAGCTGAAGAAATACTGAACGTAGAGGCGGATGAATCCGGCGAAGATGTGCCATCAGAGTCAGATTTTGATGACGATAGTGGAGAAGAACCGCGTGAGTACTCAGAACACGTGCATTCATTATGTGTCATTCCAATTCCTCTACTTTTATTGGATGATTCAGTTTTTTCCTGGATATGCTGTTACATTGAAAAATCTCTGTTGCTTTGATACAGTAATCTCACTCGTCATATTTTAGTTGGAGTCGTTGGTAACGAGTGGGGAAGAAAAAGAAAAGATTTTTACGGAACAGAGTGAGTATCCTTTGAACTATTCATAGTCTCATACTTGCGGAAGATGTTTTGATCTGTTTTTTTTATCTTGAATTTTTGTGCATGTGGATTTGATAGCTGCATTGTCGCATTGTTGACTTGTCATTGCATATTTCAATTTCATACGCTTTTCTAGATATGTCGACGAAGATTGGGGTGGAATGCGAGAAGAAGAGCTTGAAGATGCTGAGCTCGAGGAAGAGGATGCTGCCGATAGACAGGCTGCGTTGGACAAGGCGGCCGCTCTCGCCAGCGACTTGTTTGAGAAAGAGGACCAAGCTGAGGGTAAAACAACAACTGTGAGTCTCATGTAGATTGTTTGTAGGTGTGATGTATTATATTGCGCTTGCTTTGCGAGGTTAAGTAGCACGCATAAAGCTAGGAGACTTATGCTTTACTCGTGGAGCAACTTCACTCTTGAGGGAAATTTTCGATGTTGTGTATCTCCAGGTAGTCAAAGAAACAAATTTTGAATGGAAATTGTTGCCAGTCAAGAAGCTCAACAGACGCACAGCTGAGATTATTGAGGAGTACAACAGGAGGGTCAGTTCAAGAATTTGATCCTACTGCTTTTCAAGTTTGAGTTTATTCACAGAAGGACCTCATGAATGTCATTGTGGATCCGCTCGTGGCTGTTATTCGAAAGCTACCTCAAATGTCCAATGTTAGAAAGCAGATACTTTTGGTGCATGATGTGTACACAACGTGAGTTTTTGCAGTTTACTCTTTCTACCATATCGGTCTTTTTTTTCAGCGCATTTGTTATTAGATTCTCGTCTTACATGTAGTCAAATTTTCATATAATTGCGCGTATCTATATGTCTTTCCTTTTTGTAAATACACTTTCTTAGATACATCTTGACCATGATGTTTTACCTTCAACTGAAAGAACAATCTTTTGCAAAAAAGGATGCTACAGATGAAATGCTGGAATCTCATCCAGTTCTTGAGAGGATAGATAAGTTTGCTAAAGTGCGTGCTATTCAAGACATTTACTTTCGCAATAATATCATTTTCCATCTTACAGATGATCAAACATGTGGATGCGTTTCTGGATAAAAACGCCTCGGCTCTTAAGAGGTTGCTAAAGAAGGCATCGAGTGGTGAACAAATTGAGTCCGCCATTGTTGAACCTCATCTACAAAAACATGCTGAGGTAAATGCTATCGATTGCTCGTGTGCGCGATTGACCTTTCAAAATCAAACCTTTTGAATGTAAGCACTGCGCAATGACACTGGTGTGTAAAGTTCCATTTAAATAGTGTATATGCACTTACCCTATTCGTACAGCCGAAAATCGCTCTCATGTTTTGATATTAGCTTCTGTTTGACGGTAACTTGAAAGAAGTACGTTGTTCAGCACTTTTGAATAACGCATTGCTTTTTGTTACCGTCTTTCATTCTCTGCAAGTTCGCGCACATCTGATCTGTTTACCACAGCAGGAACTATCAGAAGAAACGAGAAAAACGAACGTATTGGACGGTGATAACCATGATGTGGCAGACGATGAATCTATGTCGGTCGAAGATAGAAGAAGAGCTAATAAACAGATAGAGAAGAATTTCAAAGCTGACTCTGGTACCAGGCATAAGAAAACTCCGAAAACTGCAAGAGTAAGTTTTAGTTGACTGGTTAGTAGATAAGTTCGATGCACCTCTATATTATATCCAAAATGGTGAAAGTGTGGCCAATGAGCAAGAGTTAAAGAACATCTATGCAGTGAAGGCATGAAGTAATTCTATCACAGTGTGTAGCTGCATGCGATATAATAATCAGGCACTTGCTGTTTTTTTTATTGTAACGCTTCTATTCCATTGACAATCAATCCATGCGACCGTGCAGATCCATTTGAGGAACTTCTGCGTGTGCCGCTTTAGTCCACAAAAGGTGACGCATGTATGTTTTATTTGTACGCTTAGTCTGCGATAAAATCTCGCGTATCGTCTTCAATCTCGCTTTCACTTTTGCTAGAGCAAAGTTTCATAGCATCTTCGATTTGTGAGTGCAAGGATTAGAGATCCAAATGAACTTCAAACATAATCCACTCTAAACAACATTGGTATGTCTTGCTGCTTGTATAATTGTCACCGCGATAGAGTTCGATAAGTTCAATGTACTTAGAGATCTGGGTTCTATTTGATTATCTAGTTTGACATAACGATGACTGGTTCCCTTGCCACTACTACACCTATACACATGAACTGCAGCTGAGTGATCACAAAGTAACATGGAAGTAGCGGCGTTTTTTTGTGATTGTGAAAATTCGTCGACAGTTTTGAGATTGTGGTTCAGTTTCCCTTGGTGTCCTTCAAACATGGCTTTGATTCTGACACCTCGTGCTTCTGAGTCATCGCCTTCTATGGTGATTGATTTGAATGCGGCTGTTTTCCGGCCAGCTCGGTGTTCGTGCAGAACTTTTTTTTTCAAAATAATTCTTTTTATCAAACCTTTACATCGTTTACTTATAAAACACTATCGTTTTCTATAACATCACTCAGCATTTCTGCGGTACGGTATTCTGAGCTAAAGTTGGATATTACCGCTCATTTTCTTGATGATGCGCTTAACCTTTTCCTGAAACATGTCACAGTTTGCAGTTTGCGGTCACGACTGCGTTTTGCTAGCATTGCCGTGTTCGATATCGTTTACTAAACTCTCGTTTGTACGGCAACTGATTGTTACAATATGGAGCAGACATCGTGAGCAGCTGGTACTATAGGGGTCAGCATCTGCGACGTAAGCGTAATGTTGTCCACTTCTCAATATTGCATGTATCATTTGCTTCAATCAACTTGGTAGTCGTTTCTTCATATGAAGAACATTTTTATTACTGAGAGCATTTCCAGACCAAAAATCGGAAACGTTACAAGGAGGCTGTGAAGAAAGTTCGCTCACAGATCGGAACTATTCGAACGGAAATGCAAAAGTACACTGGTGAATCAAGAGGAATACGCGTTAGCACCGTGAAATCGACAAAGCTATCGGCTTGAGCGTTTTGCCGAATACTCTTGTTGTTTCCCTTTATACCTGTTTGTTATCTGCGGTTGTTACTGTTGTTTTTGCCGAATTCCTTTCGAATAAGTATAGAAGAATCACATGGTCAGTGCTAGAGTTACAGTCTCGATTTGACGATATAAAAGGCTAAAGTCGGACGTGAAATTGTTCAGTAGCACGAAATGCACTTGAGCGTTTGTGTATCTGCTGCCATGAATGATTCCTTTCTAATTTGACGCTTGCTTTTCATTGATTTTCGCACATATGGGCAGCGCTTTTGTTATTGTGCAACTCAAGACTGTGGTCGCAGAATTTCTGCTTCTATTCTTGATATACAATGATTATAGTATCTCTTGTCGAAAATTGTATAGTTTGACAGATTATTTGTGGTATGTTTTGTTACTGAGGTGACAGCCTCATTACGTTACCCCAGGCGACTGCAGCCCTCTCTCTAACGAGATTGAACTAGATATTCCCCTATGCTGTCTGCAATGTAGTTGTAACTTTCTTTTGCAGTTCTCGTTACTTTTGTTGTTGTTGATTTGTTGGAGAGAAAAATTACAGTACTCTTACATAGTTGACTTCTGTGTGCCTCTACACTCCCATACTTAAGCACCTAATATTGGTGTACTGTGCTATATTCTACATTCATACCCTTATCCTCATCTGGCTGGACTGATTAAGAGTAAGTTTACTTTTTGAAATATTGGCCCACCGTTTTTTCTCAGTTGTCGTTATTGATCGCTGGCACTAACAATTCCTGATAAGAACGACTGGCGGCTCTTTTTGAAGGTGTTGCCAACTTTTCAAACATCTCTGAAGAAATCTTTGGTAATTGCAGAAGGACTAGTGATTTCATTCATTTGTTTCTGATTTTATCACATATCAAATGTTCCTTGAAACTCTAGCAGGTGCATTTTGGAGCTATTTATTCCGCCGAAAAGTTGTTTTACATTCCTCGTTATTGAAACCAAGAGATACGTCATTTAACTCATTGGATCTGAACATGTTCAGTAGTATCCACTTTCTGCGGTAATCTACCAGTAAATATAGTCAATTAGAAAAATTACAGATTATCTCGAAATGTGTGCAGTTGCACGCCGCGCGTCAGAGCGCCGATAGCTGTCTCATCAAATGAGCTTGGTGCTTCCGGATTTATCGTTCCTTTAAGATTCAGTGAATCAGGAAGTAACTGTTGATGTTTCACTTTTGTTTGTATTTAGCACATCCAGACTCTTCAAAACGAAATCGATGCGAAATCGTAAATGATAGAGGTACCAGTAATTTCTAAACAATTGAAGGACATTAATAACTTCTTATAGTGAATTCATGCAGTTCAAAAGTGAAGAAAGCTGAAAAAAACTACGATAAAGTTACTACAACGTGGTTATGTCAAGGTTTCATCCCAAAATGTGGGCTTTTTACATCGAAGAATGTGGAGTAGTACCCATACCCACGATTTATGTGAAGCTAATTACCGAACCATGGAATAGCGATGCATCAAATAAATTTGAAACCTCTTTTTTTTCGCTTCCCGTAACTCTTTTGGTGCGGTCAAAAGTCCCCCAATGAGGTTTTTTTGCATGAACGCCTCTGCAAAGAGTGAATTATCATGTGAATCATCATTCAAACGAACTTTGAACAATACATCGCGTACTTTTTGATTGCTATGCTTGACTGAAATAGTAGCTGAAAGGCCATATCGTAGAGGTGGACATTGACATATTCTGCGACATGTTTCCTGCTGAATTTCTACAACAACAACTGCCTTTTCTTCGGTTTTTGAAGAATTTGAGGGAAAATGGCGGCAAAGTCTTTTCTTAGCATCGTATCAACCCCATATATCCTCATTGATGTTCAGGCAGTTGTGGAACGTTTCGTTTTCGCCTGTGCTGGTCTAAAAACAACTAAGCTATTCGGTTGGTGCTCGTGTAATCCCGAAGCAGTTTGCCACTCTTGGTATCGAAAGTTTGTTTTACCAAAAACTTTATATTCTGATGTAACTGACTATTGAATAGCTGGTCTATTTACTCTGGGTAAAAAGCAGCACTTTGGCAAGTTTGGCTCTCAGCTATAGCTACCTTACCTTTCTTCGTCATAGTGTGGTAATACTGGTGAATTTTTGCGATGCTTTCGAGGCGAATTAGAGGAGCAATGTTTGTATTTCAATCCCGCGCAAAGTTTTTCTCGATATGACAGCCGAGTGGTGTTTTCTGTCCGCACATTACTCCGCGCTCGTTGAGTTTATGGAACTTTTCTATATAATTTTACAGTACGACATTGTCCTTCTAAGATAATTTTGGCTTTCTGCAGGCCACCATTTGCTCTTTAAGTCAATTTTTTTGCCGAGATATAGTTATATATATATACTAGCTGGCTTACCCGGCTCCGCCGTATCCGGACCAAACTTGGCACACATACACTTCGGGCCCCGGCGGGTGTCACAGTCCACTTTTCGTTATCGATCGATGTCGATTTTACCGATTTTTATCGATTTTTTCGCAGAGTTCACCTACAGGGCTAGGAGTTGGCACAGGGGGGAAGTGAGCATGGGAATTCTGAATACAATATTAGTTTTCAGAATTATCGGTTACTTTTATTGATTTTCTCGATTTTTTGTAAATTTTGACATGCGAGGCTGAGATTTTGCACAGGGGGGTAATCGAGCATGCTGATTACGAACACAATATTAGTTTTCAGGATCGTCCATTACTTTTATCGATTTTATCGATTTTTTTGTAAAGTTTGACCTGCGGGGCTGGGAGTTTGCACAGGGGGTAATCGAGCATGCAGATTACGAATACAATATTAGTTTTCAAGATCGCCCATTACTTTTATCGATTTTATCGATTTTTTGAAAATTTGAGCTAGGGGGCTGGAATTTGGCACAGGGGTGTAATCGAGCATGCTGATCACCCCCCTTGGGGATGATCAGCATGCTCGAATACCCCCCTGTGCCAACTCCCAGCCCCCTAGCTCCAACTTTGCAAGAAACCGATAAAATCGATAAAAGTAATCAATAATTCCGAAAACCAATATTGTATTCGGGATCCCCATGCTCGATTACCCCCCTGTGGGAACTCCCAGCCTCGTAGCTCAAACTTTGCAAAAAATCGATAAAATCGATAAAAGTAATCGGTAATCCTGAAAACCAATATTGTATTCGGAATCCCCATGCTCGATTACCCCCCTGTGCCAACTCCCAGCCCCGTAGCTCAAACTTTGCAAAAAATCGATAAAATCGATAAAAGTAATCGATAATCCTGAAAACCAATATTGTATTCGGAATCCCCATGCTCGATTACTCCCCTGTGGGAACTCCCAGCCTCGTAGCTCAAACTTTGCAAAAAATCGATAAAATCGATAAAAGTAATCGATAATCCCGAAAACCAATATTGTATTCGGAATCCCCATGCTCGATTACCCCCCTGTGCCAACTCCCAGCCCCGTAGCTCAAACTTTGCAAAAAATCGATAAAATCGATAAAAGTAATCGATAATCCCGAAAACCAATATTGTATTCGGAATCCCCATGCTCGATTACCCCCCTGTGCCAACTCCCAGCCCCGTAGCTCAAACTTTGCAAAAAAATCGATAAAATCGATAAAAGTAATCGATAATCCTGAAAACCAATATTGTATTCGGAATCCCCATGCTCGATTACCCCCCTGTGCCAACTCCCAGCCCCGTAGGTGAACTCAGCAAAAAAATCGATAAAAATCGATAAAATCGATATCGATCGATGACGAAAAGTAGCCTATGACACCCGCCGGGGCCCGTAGTGTATGTGTGCCAAGTTTGGTCCGGATCGGTTCAGAAATGGAATTTTCTATTCGGAACATACGTACACACATACATACATACAGACAGACATACATACATACATACAAACAGACATTCAGCTTTATATATAAGACTAGCGACCCTACGGGTCGCTAGTAGGTGGGTGGGGGCAGATACATTGATATCTGCCATTAATTAACTAAAATCCCAAGAAAGAGAATTTTCATCTTCCCAGCGACCTTGCGCATGTTGTGAGTAGCAGAAACAAAACAATATGCCCTTAGGAAAAGAAGCTACTACCACTGACTATGCGCAAAGCATCTTTGCTGTTTTCTTGCACATACCTTTGCCCAGATACCACAGCTCTTAAACAAGGAAGCTACCTCGAAGCACCTGTTTAGAGCAGCTGATTCAACCCAAAACTCAGATTGATTTCCAGGAAAGTGCCATGTTAAAGGAAGCGTCAATTTATGTCTTCCAGCAGCCAAAAACTCAGATATGTCTGTAAAAACGAAGCAGCATTTTTTTCGATGATGTCTTGCCAGTGAATGGGCTCATTTCTTGAACAGAAGCTGGCCCAGCGCCTTCTTTTGAAGGACAATCTTACCGAAACTGTCCTGTCGTATAAAACCCTAGTTCTTTCCTTCCCTCGAAACCAAGCTCCTTATGCTTCCGCTTTTAGCAGAAGTATGGTTGAGAAGAAGGGTAATTTCTCCAGCAAGTTTCTGTATAATCAAATATTGACACCTAAAAACTTTTAGCGCAAATATCTTGCTGCCTGAGCCCTGAGTCTTTCCTTCCCTCGAGACCAAGCCCCCTGCTTTTTGCTTCTAGGGACAAAAGTGTGGTTTTTGCAAAATTCAGAAGGCCAGAATTTTCAGCAAAGATGATTTCCTGTCGCAAGAAGCTCATGGGTCTGTTTTTCCCTCGAGACCACTCTTCTGTTTTCAGAGGCAGAAGTCTGGTTTTTGCAGAGTGGAATGGCCACAAGTGAATTTTAAACAAGTTTCTGTAGAATACACATTGACACCCAGAAGTTTTCAGCGAAAATATCTTGCTGGCTGAGCTTATGAGTCTCTTTTCCTCGAAACCAAGCTATCTGTGCTGTTTTGCTTTTAGGGGTAGAAGTATGGATTTTGCAGAGTAGAATGGCCACGAATTTTAAACAAGTTTCTGTATAATGAAGCATCGACAACCATAAACTTCTGGCGAAAACATCTTGTTGCCTGGGGCCATAATCCTTACTTCCCTCGAGACCAAGCTCCTTGTGCTTTTTTGCTTTTTGGGCCAGAAGTGTGGTTTTTGAGTTTTATGGTTTTTTGCGAAGTTTGGGAGTCAAAAGTCTTAGAAAATGTCCTGTCGGATGAAACTTATGGGTCTGTCCTTCCCTAGAGACTAAATCCCTGTGCTTTTCTGCTTTCAGGGCAGAAGTACTGGTTTTTGCGAAGTAGAAGGGGCCGATGTCCTGTTGCAAGAAGCTCATGGGTCTGTCCTTTCTTAGAGACTAAATTCTGTGCTTTTCTGCTTTTGGGGGCCGAAGCACTGGTTTTTGCGAAGTCTAGGAGGTCAGACGCCTTAGCGAAAATGTTTGTCGCATGAAGCCTCATGGTTCTGCCATTTTCTCGAGACCGAGCTATCTGTACTGTTTTGCTTTTAGAGGAAGAAGTGTGGTTTTTGCAAAGTGGAATGGCCAGAAGTAAATTTTAAGCAAGTTTTTGTATGATTATTGACACCCATAAACTTCTGGCGAAAATACCTTGTTGCCTGAAGCCATGATTCTTTCTT